AAAAAAAGCTTCTCACGCCTTTTGATTTTCTTAAAGCACATAACTTTTTCAAAAGGTAATGTCGGTAATTCCTAAGTTGAAAATTAGAAAGAGTGAAAAATGTCTCTCCTTGTTCTTTATCACCTCCTATAAAGATCGTATGGGTTTAAGTTATTTCAGCAACAACTCAATCTCTTGGCTTTTGTTATCTGATTGCAACAAAACTTGAATTCCTTTTAAACTTTCCTTTGAGACTTGAGAGATGTCGAAAATCATATCCTCTCTTGTGCTAATGTTACTATTTTGTTTCAATTTCTATACATGTCATGCTCGAGTCCTCGATGAACTCCACGGTGCTCATCATCCCACATCCATCGAGGTTTGCTCTGTTAAATTATTAGTTATCAGCTAGTTACTACATATTCACCCATTTTTCATCCATAACTTTAATAATTGTCTCAAAATATATTTCAAATTGTCTGTTTTTTCCTTTATTAAATGATCAGTTATAGAATTTCACAAATCTAAAAATCTTTCTGTACCATGATCTCTACTGTAAGGCTGTTATTCGAGCTCAGCTCCACTTGTTTAATAAGCATAAAATCTTTAACGAACTCATGTTGGTTCAACTATTATATTATAAGCCCAAAAAAAAAAAAAATAAAAAAAATAAGAAACGAGTTATTCGCGAACAAATTCAGCTCAACTCGTTTAATAAATGATTTCATCATGACTCACGAGCTAAATTGAGTTTTTGCGAATTGTTCATTTAACAACACTAAGATTCTCTAGATATTAAGATCATAAAATGCAGATTCATGGTTGTAATATTGTATGCAGGATAACGTTGGGGAGTCTACTTTTCCCACATCGCTAAGTGATGTAGAAAACAGGCCTTCAATATCCATTGAGAATATGAAGCCGAGAGGGCCTGCAATCGGCGGTGACCATCATTAAAGTGGTGGCCCATAGAGACCAACTAAAGACGGCCCTAACACTCTTCATGGGGCCATGGCTTTTCCCTTTTAGTCTTGAAGAAAAAAAAAATAAAAAAAATCTAAAGTTGTCAGTTTGTTGCTGTTGTCCTTTACATATAATAAGAACTAAGTGTTCCTTTTACTTCATNTGAAAAAAAAAAAAAAATTAAAGTTATCAGGTTGTTGTTGTTGTCCTTTACATATGATAAGACTAAGTCTTCGTTTTACTTCATAAATGTTGTTGTTAAGCTGTCAATTGTTATGCAGCCATACTTTTATATTATGAATTCTACTTTTATATATACTACTTGCAGAACCACTTCTTAACTAGTTTCTTATAACTATACTTTAATATTTTTATTTGGCAATATATGTGAACAAAATAATATCATTTTCTATTGGAAAATTGGAAGTTCTTTACTGCAAGTAATAAGCCAAGAAACCATTGCTTAACTAGCTTCTTAAAACTTAAAATCATTTTGGCCAAATTCTAAACTCCAACCATTTTCTTTTGACCCACTTTGATCAATTCCTTAGTCACACAACAAGAAAATACTCGTATTGAAAGATAAGTATCAACCAAAATCATTTTGTTTGAAAAAACTCAATGAATATTTGTATCTACCTTATACTTTTGCACAAAGGTAGATACAAATTATTTATAATTCTTCTTACAAATAGAACCATGCATTGAAAACAAGAAATTAAGAGATCACCATTTCTTAAACAATGTCACATTGATTCATTTCATCAACATACAAATTACAAGCAAACAAACAAACATATATCATAAAACAAAAACATTTCAACATTACTAATATAACCTTAATCAAGAACAAACGAAACCTCGTGGCACTTTCTTTCCACACAAATTAACCGCCAGGCTCAAGGCAATCGGGACCTTATAAACTTTCGCAATCCCGAGCACGTTAGCCTTAATCGCTGTACAAAGGCACAATGTGGCTTCAAAATCGGCTAAGCCTTTCACAAGTTCACAACATTGGCTGCTCGGTTTTGTTCCCACAACCTAATGAACGAGTCCTAGCCAGTCGCCACATAAGCCCAACTTAAGGGTATCGACCGGCCACTTGTCGAGGTCTTAGTCGGGTTTCCAGATGGCAGGCACGGATTGGCCGTGAGCGAAACACAAGTGAGGAAAATGATGATATTGAGTGTAATGAGAGCTGATGTGGCATTTACACTTGCCATTTTTNTTTTGGGTTCTAAATTTTTTAAAGGAAGAATTCTAACAAGAAAACAATAAACTAATTGATCAAACAACAAAATAAAAAGAGCACAAAAACATACTTCAGTTCTTTTCAACAACAATTTCTTGCATCAACCAAGCGTTACTCCAATCCCAACAGCTTTCCTTCCTTCATACTGACTGATCTCAGGAAAATAGCTCAATCACTCTTACCACAATGAGAAATACAAACAATTCAGAAAAAAAATCGGACCTTTGAGCTGAACAATTTGAATCCAACTGAAATAATCAAACCCATATAACACCCCATACATGCACTTAAAATTCTTTAGGAAAAAAATGAAACTTTTCTGCACAAACAAACCTAAGAATTCATCGTATAAACCTTTGAAAGCCAGGGCCTGTGTGGTTCACTCGTGCATGTTTGCGCAGTCGATGTCAACTGGCTTACATCCCTCGAGGACAGCGTGACGCGGCAAAAATCCAATTTTGGTCCGCTAATTTGTCCATTGTCCATTTTTGGTACACTATCTTTCCCCTCATAAAAAATGGTCTATTATGTTACTTTTTCATCAGTTTTAGTACGCTACTCTAGTTGGCGGGATTACAAGATGACGTGGACTGGGGTTGGAACTACGTGGAGGGATAAGATATTGACGTGGTAGGATAAAAACCTGATTTGGCATCTCGTAATCCCGGGCCACGGGATTAATGTAACATAATGGACCATTTTTTATGAGGGGAAAGATAGTGTACCAAAAGTGGACAATGAACAAGTTAGCGGACTAAAATTGAATTTTTGCCCAGCGTGACGCCATTGTCAATGAGGACCTTCATCACGGGAAACATTTCCTTCAGAATCTGCCAAAAAAAAAAGAGGATAAAAACAGTCAGCTTTTGAGATAGCATATTTACCTTTACTACTCATTTTTTATAAACACAAGGCAATGGATTAGTAGTTACTTCTTTATTCGTGTCTGCACCGTGGTCCAAAAGTAGAAGAACGAACTCTAAACTCCCATTTGATGACGATACATCTTTTTCAATAGTTCCAATGGCAACACATAAAGAAAGAAAGAGATAGAATATAAGCAAAAGAGTTATGTACATTTGTGAAGTACTTACTATGCACATACTGACATTCCTATCGCAACCATTTTTTATCTTTCAATTTATGCAATTAGCGCTTTTTAGTTTTCAAAAAAATGATCACTTTGTGGTAGTAAATGAACAGGCTAGCTGTGGATTTATTACTCTATTGATTTTTTTGAGAACTAAAAGAAAGGCATAATAGACTTTCGAGTATAGAGTGCATTGTGAAGGTTTTGGAAAATTAATATATGACTCTAATAGTGTTGGGCTCAGATGCGCAAATGCGGAAGGTGTAATAAGGGGAAAACTTCAGCTTTATGCCGAGTTGAGAGGCATGGTTTGCATGTGAAGATTTGCAGAATATTTTTCATTGACTGGAGGGGAAGAATTGTCAGCATCCAGCCAATTTTGATGACCAGCAGCTTTTCCATTAATAGGCATTAAATAAGCCAAAATTGATGGCTGTTGTGGCTGCCAACTTTGATAAATTGGGAGCATCTTTCTCTCAATAAATAGCACCAGATCAAGTGCTGAAATACACACCAAGCGAGAAGAAAAAATAGCAGAAACAACATTCAGTTTCTGGAGTGTTAGATTTTTCAGTGAGAGAAAAAATAGTATTGAGTAAATCCTGTGAGTGTGGGTTAAATACACCGGGTTGGGTATATCTCTATTACTCCTTGTTTGTAATATTTGAATAGGAGTGGGGTCTCACTGGGTCACTATATTTTACACTTCTAGTGTAGGGGAGTGTGAAAAGATATTGTAATTATCTTGAAAATATAGTGAAAATGTTCGGAGGTTGTCCCGTTGTTTTTTTCCTCTACATTGGAGGTTTTTCCACATTAAATCTTGGTGTATTCTTTCTTGCATATATTTTATTTATTTGGGATATTTTTAGTATACTCTGTGGTCGCAGTTTAATCAGATCTTCCACATCAGAAGAAAATTATTCCTGTTTTATTGCAAGAGATTTCTTTTGTCATTCTTGAGTTGTTGAGATTGAGATTATTGTTCACCATTTTACATCGGTGTTTTAATTTACATCTTCCGCATTTGCGTATCTGAGCCCAACAAGTGGTATCAGAGCATAAGTTGGGCTCTGCATCAACCAGTGTAAATTAAAAGGAGGAGAACGTGGGTACCATAGTGAAGCTGACAACAACAAATTACTCCATTTTGATGCAAAAAATGGAGGATATACTTTTCTACAAAGATATGTATGATCCTGTAGAAAAGGGAGACAACAAGCCAGATGACATAAAGGATGACGACTGGAAAAAATTACACAGGAAGGCTGTCAGTTTAATCAGACAGTGGGTGGATATCAGCATATTCCACCATGTTGCCACAGAGTCGAAAGCCCATACTCTGTGGAACAAAATTGAACAAATATATAAGAGAAAGACTGCACAGAATGAAGCTTTCGTCATTAGAAAGCTTGTAAATTTAAAATATCGGGATGGAAGATCAGTTGCAGAACACTTGAATGAGTTTCAAGACATGGTAAACCAACTTGTTACCATGGAAATGAAACTTTTGAGTTCTTTACCGGATAGTTAGGAGATTGGTGGTTTCATTGAGAAATTCGTCTCCTGAAGGAAAACTGACTTTGACCCAAGTCAAAGACAGTATGTTTAATGAAGAAACAAGAAGAAAAGACTCCGAGGAAAGCAACTCCCAAGCCTTGGTCACAGNATCAGTTGCAGAACACCTGAATGAATTTCAAGACATGGTGAACCAACTTGTTACCATGGAGATGAAACTTGATGAAGAACTGCAGGCGTTAATACTTTTGAGTTCTTTACCAGATAGTTGGGAGACTCTGGTGGTCTCACTGAGCAACTCTGCTCCTGAAGGAAAACTGACTTTGACCCAAGTCAAAGACAGTATGTTTAATGAAGAAACAAGAAGAAAAGATTCTGGGGCAAGCAGCTCTCAAGCCCTGGTCACAGAAACCAGGGGGAGAAGTAAAAGCAGAGGCCGGAATAACAAATTCAGAGAGAAATCACAATCTCAACCCAGGAGAAAATTCAAGTGTTATCACTGCAGTGAAGAAGGGCATATCAAAAGAAACTGTAAAGCCTGGAAGAACAGAGATCGGAGGAACAACAAATCATAGAACGATGAAAATACCGCAACCCCTGTGATCAATGGGGAAGTGGTGTTGCTCTCTGTTGAAGAAGAAGAGTGCCATGTTGCAGATTCNCCTGTGGTCAATGGGGAAGTGGTGTTGCTCTCTGTTGAAGAAGAAGAGTGTCATGTTGTAGATTCATGTTTTGAATGGGTCATTGACTCAGCTGCATCTTACCATACAACCTCTCACAAGGAATTCTTTTCTCTATAAAAAGAAGGACACTTTGGTAAAGTAAAGATGGACAACAACAGCATTGCAAATATTGTGGGAGTTGGTGATGTGTGCATTCAAACTGATATTGGGTGCACAATAACACTGAAGGACGTACGACATGTACCTGACTTACGTCTGAATCTGATCTCTGTGCATGTATTGGATCTAGCAGACTATACTAACAATTTTGGTAGCGACACATGGAGGCTTACCAAAGGATCATCGTTAGCTGCTAGAGGCACAGTGAGATCGACGCTGTACAGAACTCAAGTGAAGTTGATCAAGGATAGATTGAATGCAGTCGAGGATGATGCTTCACCAAATTTGTGGCACAAAAGACTAGCTTATATTGGTGAAAAAGGATTGTGAATTTTGGCAAGAAAGTCCCTCATCCCATTTGCCAAATATTCAAACTAAATCCTTGTGATCATTGTCTCTTTGGGAAGCAGCATAGAGTGTCTTTCAGCAAAACCTCGAAGCTAAAAGAGAATGTGTTGAAAATGGTGTATTCTGATGNTACGTGGACCCATGGAAGTAGAGAGTCTCTGTGGCAGCAAATATTTCGTGACGTTTATTGATGATGCTTCACGAAAATTGTGGGTCTTGAAAATGAAGGACCAAGTTTTTCAGTACTTCAGAAGGTTTCATGTTATGGTGGAAAGTCAGGCTGGTAAACCTTTGAAGTGTCTTCGCTCAGATAATGGAGGAGAATATGCTTCCCATGAATTCAAGAATTATTGTGCTGATCATGGAATCAGGCATGAGAAGACTGTACCTGGAACCCCACAATATAATGGTGTGGCCAAAAGAATCAAGAGAACCATTATGGAGAAAGTAGATGTATGTTCAGAATGGCTAAGTTGTTTAAGCCATTTTGGGGTGAAGCTGTTCTAACAGCGTGCTACCTGATCAACCGATCTCCATCTGTTCCTTTGGACTGTGATATCCTTGAAAGAGTATGGTCCGGGCATGATGTTAATGTTGGGATATGTGAGGATCTTATTATGTACAAGTTACGAATTCAATAGCAAACGTAAACCTATGCGCAGCGGATCTAAAGGTTTGAAGTAGAAAACTTACGACTTAAAATTTTTCTGAATCTGATGGATTCGGGACGAACGGGAGCTAGATCACACGAACGGACGTAGGGATGGGTCGTGTGGTGCCGCGGGTGAAACCGGTCGAGTCGCGTGGAACGTCGGTTGGGTCGCAGCTTTGGCTGCCGGTCGTGTCGCGCCGGTTTGTCGCGACGTCGGGCCAATCGTGTGCGGAGGTCCTCCAGCTGGTCGCGGCGGTCGGCGGCTGGGCTGGGTCGGCGGATCTCGGTCTTCAGGTTGAGATTCGTCGACTTCTGTAGATGATCACCGGGTCTCGATTACCTATGGATCTTCTACCGTATTACTCAAACACCTTCTTCTACTTATACCAGTGGAGCAACAAGAAGAAGATAAAGCTCGAATGAAAATTGAGAGAAAAGGGGGGCGGCGTGCTTGTTTTGTTAATATGAACATATCGATCTCTTATCATGAGCTTAATGTTTTATATATAGAGCTACAGTAG